GCTATACCTGGAATCATTGGAATAATATAGTCTGGTTCTTTCAAGACATCATGAAGTGTCCTTTTCTCATTTACTTTGATCCAATTAGAAGATCCTGGGCAATAAAAACAGAAACGTTGAGCATATTCCAACAAAGTGATCTCTTGCTCAGCTATTTTGAGCAGAGATTCTAACCTTTACAGTGGACACACACATCAGTTCAAACTTCAATGCACACATCTTATTCCCAATCCAAGAACAGATAGAACAGGTGTGAAAAAGGCACATCCCAGTAAGAGAAAATATATGTATGAGCAGACTAACTGTATCAAGCACTTAAGCTTGTAGCTCTGTTGGTTATGTGCATGTTCCCCTATCAAAAATAGGTAGGTTTGGATCCTTCCATCCCCAATACCAAAAAAAATGGTGCATCAATATTATACCAACAGTATATTATCCACCAGACACCACTCCATTATAACCATTCAATTAAATCACTGCCGACAGACCACATCTTGTAAACTGCTATAAAAGGAACCAAGAATAAAGATTAGAAAATAACTAATTGACTTTTGCTACATGCTTAAATGTATTCAACTATTTACCCTTGAGATATTCCAATAGTTGACCAAACAATCTAATTTCACAAAACAAGCAAGGTCTTGTTAAATAATCTAATTTCAAGAAACTTGAAAAATATAAGATTCTCACCAGTCTTAACTGTATTTACTCTAGAAACAGAAAATAATTCCTAGCTTTATGATTCATCAAAGAGTCAAGTGCATGACAAACAAATGATAATAAATATTTGGATGTTAAGGGTATATTGAAGAACATACCACCTGCAGAATTGCTGTAAGTAGAAACATTAGAAACATCTTTATCTTCATCTCCAATACTTTCCACATTATAACCAGCAGTTCCCTCTAGAAGATAGTGGAGAATTTTATTTTTTGACAGACGAACTCCAGAACCAGCCTGAAAAGTCAAGGGCAGATGATTTGTAAACAAAGAAACAAATGTTACCACTAAATATAAAGCTAAGTGTAATATTGCTACATATTTAAAACATTCTCAAATATCTTACATTAGCTGTGGAGATATCCAACTAGGAGCCCCTTCAGCACATTACATGAGCAGTAAAACATTCTAAGAATATACTAATACCAACTAGATGCCACTGTAAAATTTTTGCAAATCAAATGCATGGATAATACAAGTCAAATATTGATGTTTTCTCACCAATAGATTACTAGAGACTTGCCAATCAAACGCATGGACAATGTACTTGACAAAATATTAATGCAAGTCATCCATGCTGAAACTGTTATCCATACAATTGAATTTATTGAGATCACAATTGTCACAAACAGAGGCTTACCTCATAATATAGTTCAATGGCTTCACGGGTGTAATTGTTTTCTTTATCCCATGGCAAAGGTGGACAACTTTCTGAAAACATGTTTGAAGCTAAGGAAATAACTCGAATTCACATAAGTCTACACACATTATGAAACATGTGCAAAATTAATAAAGAAGGAACTCTATGAACAAGGATATGATATCAAGATGGGCTGAAAACATGTCTGTTTCACAGAAGTCCTCTATGAAGTCACTTGACATGACCTCTGCATACAGTAGCAGGACTGGCCAGTGCAGTATCCTATTTTTATCCAACACAGGCTTCTTCAATCCAGTGAGTTCCCTGTACATTGCCTTCCCCATCTTCAACTGTCTATCTTCAATTGCAGTAATAAGGTCCTACCATCAAAAAAGAGAGAGAAGGTAACAAGGTCCTAATCAGTCAAGCATATAAGCCTCAAAACTTTGATAATTTTAAAACAATGTTAATATTAAAGTTCAATTTCTGAACCTTAGCCTCTGCCACTGCCTTAGAAACTTTGGCCTCATGCTCCTCCTGCTCCGTCTTCTTCAAATTAATCTGCTTTGCAAGCTTCTTCATCTCCTGGTTATCTGGGTCTCTCTCAAGTGCACTCTCACAAAACGATTTTGCCTCATTCAACAAATTGAGCGACACAGCAGCCTTGGCAGCTCGATAATAGGCCTAAACGAGATATCAACATTGCTAAAGTCTTAAACCCCACGAAAACTACCGCCAAAAAAAATCAACCAGGCAGCAAAAGAAACTACCTTTACATTCCCTGGGGAGAGTCTAATGGCGTCCTGAGCGTCAGTGAGTGCACGGCGGTAGTTTCCGAGGAGCAAATTGACATGGGCTCTATTTGCAAACAAAACAGAACTCTCCTGGTCGTTCAGAGCTTTCTGGTTGATAGCCCTGGTGTAACAATCGATGGCATCGGAGTAATGGCTTTTGCCCATTTTCACATACTCGTTTCCCTTCTCCTGCGCGAACCCAGTTGAAAGAATAACAAGGAATGAAAGCTAAAATCATAGGATGTGATAGTGATTGAGCATGGAGAAGAAGGTGGAACCTTAAGTTCGAGGGCAGCAGATTCTCTGAGGGCGGATATGGCTTCGAGGTCGGCGAGCTCGCTTTCCGTCTTGGGTTCTGATCCTGCTTCCATCCATAGCGCCATTTCGCCGTCTCTGCTCTTCGGCCGGAGGAGAGTAGATACTAGAAGTAGTCAATTGAGAAACTGTTAGAGAAGAAGAAGAAGAAAATTCTAGGCGTAAACTAAGAAACGAGTCATCGATGGGGGAGTTTTTTCAGGGATAGCCTAAAATGTATATGAATTTCCAGTTTTACCATCATAACTCTTTTAGATTATAATATAAGAATTGTGTGCTAAGAAACAATTTAAATTGTATAATATATTTTTAAATTATGTATATATAATTTAAATATTAATAATTTATAATTTATTGATTTGAATGAAAATTTTTTTGATTTTAAATTTAAATTTTATAAATAAAAAAAAACATTAAAAGAGTTTTTTTTTGCATGAGTCTTTAGAGATTAATAAAAATATATACAATTTAAGTTACAATAAATATATTTTTAATGCAAATTCTGACGCCAGAATTGTAGTGGCAAGTGGTCGCATGTCATTTTATCACTTTTTGAATTGGGTTTTTTGGCTTTTGCTTTCTTTTTTTCTTATTTGAATATATTTTTTCTACTACCCTTTCTTTCTTTTATTTTTTATTTTAAAGTTTAAATTTCAAATTTGAAATTTTTAATTAATAGAGACTCCTAAGCCTTATTTTGTTATTTGATTGTGTTGAATTAAATTATCATTTTTTTTTTGGAAGGTAAATTTTACCGGCAAGCAGAGCCAGAGACAGAAGCTGAGAGAATTGGAGTAGAGAGGAAAATAAAGTTTGTGGCTCTGTGAGTTTCCATCATCGCCTTTTGCTTGGCTTTTTCCCTGTGTCTGTTAATAGTCTTCAAGTTAGGGAATTACATTTAGGCAAAAAAAATTAATTGCCATTTATATGTTTTGTTAAATTTTATTAATATTTGACAAGTTAAAAAGTAAAATTAAAATTATTAATAAACTGTTTGGACTAATTTTTTTTAAATAAAACTGATAATCAATAATTAATATTTAATAACTAAAATTATTATTATTTATAATTTTAAATATCTAAATCATTTAATTAAAATTAACAGTTAATAACTACTTTTAAAATGCCAAAACAAACAACCCTAAGGCTAAAACTAATAGGAGGGACTACATCTTTTCAATAGATACTTCCATAGGGTTTGAAAAGAAAAGAAATCAACTTCATAGATGTTTGGCTCAAAACTTCCTGAATCATGAGCAAGCTCGATTTATCATTTGCTATTATTATTTTTATTCGTCTGCCAAGCAACACATCTTTCACCTCTAATCAAATTACAGTAAAACTAACAAAAAATACATCTTGACTATTTGGATATATATATATATATACACACACAGAGAGATAACAGACCTGTTACCGGCAAACTGAATGGTATGTAGTAAATAGGTTGCCAGGTTCAAATGTTCCATCTGAAAAAATGATAAACCAAACCATCCTGTTATACCAAAGCAAGACGGTCTGAAATTTTTGGAGAGGTATCTCCAATTTATCAAACAAGACGTCGTCATAAAGAAACCAAGATAGCCACAATCATCTGAAATGATTTCAAATGGGTTCATATATCAATTTGAAAATGAGAAGAGAAACAGCCAGTCCCTATACATCTTTCAGCCCTTTTCCATTTACATCCTTAGCCTAAAGCTCTAAACTATCATGCATGGACCTTTCTATGATAACAGTTAAAACTCAACCTATATGCCAGCAACCTATCTCTCCCTACAAATGCCAGGTTGCAAGCCACAAGAACCAGCATACTACTACCAAGAATGTACAAGCAATGTTCATCAGCTATGCATGTGTCAGGCCATACGAAGGGGTTCAAAATCAAATAATCTCATACCAGCATCAAAAGATACAGCCTCTGGAGGTTCTGGAGACATGCAACCATCTTGAACCACTGGGAAAGATTGGTTCCCGAAAAAGAGGAAGTCAGAGTCAGGAAAAGGAAGGTTGTCATCAAAAAGGAATCTAGTACAATCATCCAAATCCTTGATTGATAGTTCATTTGTGGTTTGCTGCTGAACATTGGTAATGGGAGATTGCTGAACACTTTGGCTGATACCGCTAACCAATCCAAAGTCAAAATCTGTAGAACCGTTTGTTGCAGGTTGAAAACAACTCCCAAACTGATTGATACATTGATCACCATTTGATTGAGGAATAGGCTGACTATATAGTGCAGGCTGGGAAGGTGTTGTATGTGTGTAGGTACTGCCCATATTAGGCTGCAAGGAGCTCTGAAGCATAACTGTCTCCAGATTTGTACCAGAACCAAAGTTCTGCCATCCAATGGGATTCCTGTCATTTTCTGTAGCAACTGCAGCAGAATTTTGTGCATGCTGTGCTGTGTAAATAGGAGCAATGCTTTCCGATGAACCACATGCAGTTTGGTTCACCGCTGCAGCCACTCCACTATTCACCCTTTCAGTTACTGTATTGGAAGAGATAAACTGTGAACCCCTATTAATACCATGACCTCGATCCTTTCTGATGGCAGTATTACATGGACCAAGCAAATGCTGTGAACGTGGAAGTGACGGCAAATGGATCCTGTTTGAGCCTAATTCTGATATTTGTTGGGATTGTTGACTTCTAGGCTGGCTTATATTACTTGGAGTGTTATTTCTATTGGAGGAAGAGCAAGTACGGATTATGGATGGCCTTGAGAACTGACTCTGCAGTATGGAGTTTCCAAGAGGGTTCTTAATTGGCCTTGAGCCTTGATTCTGTACCATTGGCCGTGAGACTTGATTCTGCATGATTGGTCTTGAGACTTGATTCTGTAAATTTGGCCTAGAGACTTGATTCTGCAGGATTGGCCTTGAGACTCGATTCTGTAAATTTGGCCTTAAGACTTGATTCTGTGGGATTCCTCTCGAGACTTGATTCTGCCGCACTGGCCTTGAGAATTGATTCTGTACATTTGTCCTAGAGACTCGGTTCTGTAGCATTAGCATTGATAATTGATTATGAAAATCTGGCCTCATTTGGTTCTGTGCAATTGGCATTGTGACTTGATTCTGTGGAGTGGAGTGAAGTGGCAATCGGATAATGTCACATGGAGCATTATTGAGTTGGGCTGCTGCCATAGGAAGAGATGCTACATGGAAGTCTGAAACTGGTACACGAGCATCTTTTGAGAGCCTCATTTTTTTCCGTAAAGAGTTCCATCTCTCTTCTTTATCAGTAGCATGGCAATGGTCAGCACTAGATGTGCCTGAGCCCCAATACAAGCATGGCGCACGTGTGTCACAGACAAAACAATGGCACTGCATATCAAGGAAGAAACCACAGGTTGCAGAAAATTAATCCATCGTATCAATTGTTAAATCACATATTTTCTAAAAGCTATAATTTAAAGCAGTGTATGAAGCAGGTAACTATCCCAGAAGTCAAAATAAAGTTCCAAAGATAATTCTTCCTAAATAAAAATTATTTTACCAGTTCACAGTGCTTTTCATGTGGGGTGGAACTGAACTTGAAGTTAGCACAAAGGTGCCGTGAATGGGGTAAATCTCTGCATGCAATCTGAAAACAAATAAAAATGAAACTTAAGATTGCAGCCAAAAATACAAACCCAATCACATACAGTAATGAAACCGTGAAGCAATGTAACGACTAAAGAAAAGATTTAACAACAAAATATACAGAAGAAAAAAATTAAGACAGAAAGAAAAGCAGTGCCCCTATGATCATCTCACCAGCTCATTAGATATATGCATTGCTACAATTTTCAATATATTTTGAAATTCCAGTAGCAAGATTGGATCTTCATCTTCCTCTTATACTACTTCAGATTAAAATTAGATTCAACCTTTAATACAATAAATATATCTTAGATTCCTCTCTTACAACCCAGTTTAGGTTTATAGTTTCAATACTTACCTTCTAGAACTAGGGAAGACCATCGACTAAAATATTAAACATTAAAATGGACAAGTGCGACCGTTTCATATGCATGAGCTGGCTATCTTTGCACTTTGGTCTCATTGAAACAATATTTCCCTGTTCAGCAAGTGATCATGAATTGATGGTGTAGTCATCATACAAATTATACTCAACTCAATTTTCAAGCACAGTTTCTATCACTGGAAAACAAATAAGTATGCATGACAGGCAACGCTACACAATAAACACATGACATATAATGTGTTGAAAAGCGAAAGTGGATAACAATATCAACCTCTTTAAGCCCATAATGGAAACTAACACTAGCCATAACTTACACTCCCCATTAAGATAAATCAAAATTAAGGATTTAAGGATAATTTCATTTTCTTTCCTTCATGTGTTTCCAGCAATCAGTTTGAACAAACGAAACTTTACCATCAAAAAGGTAATATTTTTCACAACACCCGAAAAGGAAAACACGGAACAATAGACCATATACAATATGTAACTATAAACACACTCAACAAACTTCAGAATTAGAAACTGCGGGAAAACTACAATACAAAGAGCTTTAGTTATCAAATTTCTTGAAATAAATTATGAAGGAATGGATTTGCAATATACCTCCCCCTTTTGTCCCACAACCATCAACTCATCTCCTCCGCCGTCCCCCTCATTAGCAACCTCCAGAGGTTTATCTGGGTCACCATCCAAAACGACTAACTCATCATCATCATCATCATCGACATCCCTACTTTTCGGTTTCGACCTCTTGCTGGGTTTGACCTCACGCACAAACATGACCTCATCAGGATCGTCGAAGAGAAATTCCGACGACAAGTCAGAATCAGCCCGTTTTGGCTCGTCCAATGGCGGCTCCTCGTCTGAACTGATATCGAGAACTGGCTGATTTGGGTCCATTAAAAAAAAAAATTAAAAAACAGGGTTTGTTTCGGAGGAAAAAAAGAAATCAAATTTCCAACTGGGTGTATTCGATTTGGAAGTACTGGTAAAGATTTTGCAATAAAAACAAGAAGCAAGAAGAATCAAATGGGAAGAACAGATTTGAATCCATAGAAAAATTATATATAATAAAAATCTAGAAATGAACTTTCCTGACGGAATTTTCCTGGGAAAGTGTAGATTTAGCGAGTACAAAATTTATCTCAAGGGAAATAAAAGAAAAATCAAAGGTTGTACAAGGGGAAGAAATAATTAGGGTTTTTGAGATACTGAATGCAAAAGGGAAAAGAGATGATGTTGATTTTTTGAGTTCGAATTTTGGGGAAAGAAAATGAAGTGGAGAGCTAGTAAAAAAGGGAGAAGACGTAGGCTGGGTGGAGTGTGTATGTGCGTGTGATTGAGGGGTAATTTGGGGAGTTGGGGGTGGAGTTTCGTTCGTTCGAACGATGGCGTTCGTTTCGAGGGGTTGTCGCGCGTGTTGATGGGGTTTTTCTTTGGGGATCACGCCTCGAAATTCCGTTGCGTATGTTACGTGTGCGATGACGGCTTATGAAGACGATGGGAATGGGAATTGAGGATTGGTGAATTTGGGCGCATTTTGTTGAGGCAAAACCATAAGTTAAGCCCCCTGAACTAATCCCAGAATCGCTATTAAGCCCCTAGACTTTAATTGATGCAGTTAAGCCCTTGAACTCTGGGATCAAAGCATTTAAGCCCTTCTTCTTAGGCAATTTATTTTAAAAATTAAAGTCTACGGGCTTAATAGCGTAATAAGAAGGGTTTAATTGCTTTGATTCCAGAGTTTAAGGGCTTAACTGCATCAATTAAAGTTTAGGGGGTTAATAAAAATTCTGGGGTTAGTTCATGGGCTTAACTTATGGTTTTGCCTTTTGTTGATTTGATTTACAAGTTGGAATGGTAGGCCCGGAGTTGATGAACCAAGGG